TCATCCACGTCACAGCCTCTTAACTTGTTCACCAGTATGGGGTGGGATACCGTATCGAAGGCCTTCCTGAAGTCTAAGTATACGACATACTCCCCTCCTCCTGTGTCCAGGCGTTTCGTAACCTGGTCATAAAAAGAGACTAGATTGGTCAGGCACGATCTGCCTGCCACGAACCCGTGCTGGTTTCCCCTCAGCATAATTTGTCCTGCCGAGCTCTGGCAAATGTGAGCCTTGTTAATTTTTTCAGACTTTACCAAGGATGGAGGTGAGACTGACTGGCCTATAGTTGCCCGGGTCCTCCTTCCTCCCCTTCTTGAAAATAGGGACCACATTGGCCCTTTTCCAGTCCTCCGGGACTTGGCCCGTGCGCCACGAGCGTTCAAATATTCCCACCAGTGGCTCTGCAATGATGTCGGCCAGTGCCTTCAGCACCCTCGGATGGAGCTCATCCGGGCCTGCCGACTTAAAGGCATCCAGTTCTTCCAAGTGACTCTGCACCATCTCAGGGTCATTAAGACCAGATGTGATGCTATGAAATGGGTGCCCTTCCTCTGTAGGGGCTCCATCAATGACGTTGCATGGACAGGTTGAGACAGGCCAGAGGACTGGCTGGGGGGCAAGCCTCTAGTCCTCCTCTTAGGGCTAAGACACATGGTGGAGTGCCCTGGATGGTCTCTTCGAGCCTTTGGGTTGACCCAGTGTTGTTAGTCACATAGCTGCTTGTCCTAGAACGGTATTTCTTCCCATTTTGTCTCCTTCCCCAACATATATGGCTTATGTCCAGCCAGGCTACCAGAGCTGAGTGTTGGGATTCATTCATTAATGAGCTGGAGGGTCTTCTATATTTTAACTTGATGACTTGGTAAAATATTCATCCCTTTATGCCAATTCTTAGGACCAACTGTGCTTTTCTGTATAGGCCTAGTTTGCACATAGAGGTCTAAGAGTCACTGTGTCTGAATGTGTACTGTCTCCTGGCAAAAGCTGTGTCCATCATCATGACTTACGGTTAGTCTCTTTGTATTTTAGAGTCCAGGTGTCCTTGCAGCAGTAGATGCTACCGCCAACAAGGCACTGGCTGAAAGATTTCACATCTCAGGGTTTCCTACACTGAAGTATTTCAAGGATGGAGAAGAGAAATATACTCTGCCACACCTCAGAACCAAGAAAAAGATCATTGACTGGCTACAAAAGTAAGTTTCTAAGAGTCTCTGAGATTTGCATCCAGATTTTTGGCAAATGGCCACTGGAGATTGCTTTTGTGAGGAAGCAAATCACCAGCCTAGCTTCATCTCCCACTTAAATCCCTTGCTAACAGAAAGAAAATTGAATGCCAATATCAAAGCCCACACAAACATGCCTGCTAATTATGGGTTTTAATGCACAAAATCCTTTATTTGCTGTGGGTTTGTTTTAATGCTTGTCCTGGTAAGTCTTTCCTAAAATAAACATTTTTAAGTATATCCTAAGCTTCTCTCCTGAGAAAATACCAGGAGCTTCAGAAATAAATAGGATAAAATTTGTTGCACCTTCCTGAAATGAGGCAATAGTTTCCTTTTAGTAGTGAAATTGTTGTAGTTCACACTTCTTTGTTCTGTTTCCCTTTCTTTCAATCACTATAAATCATCTTTGCCCAATTCATTTCATCCTGACATCTTTTCATAGGGAATGCATTAAAATATGCAGATTTGAGTTTAATGTCTGTAGAAAAGAATTCTGTTCCAAGAGGGAACAATTGCTGTAGTAATTGTCCTTTTATTTTCTCTTTTGGAACAAACATATATAATTGTTTTTTTCAGTACTGAATTTGTTTGCTCAAAACCTCTGTATTTACCACATTTGTATTATTCAACAATTTAAAAAAAGTTTGTACCTGCATTTTTCAATTTTTGGAAGTTGTTGAGCTCTAACCATATATTGGTATGGGGCATATAACCTTGCCTTTTTTTTTTTTTTTAACAGGATAGTTTGTTTGATAATTTGCATTTGTGTTGTCTTGTAAAAGTGCCCTGAGATGCATGTGCTCAGGGTGGGGGGGATACTTTAATTAGAGAGGCTCTTAGAGCCTCTCTAATTAAAGTGCCTACAGCATATTATATATCAGCATCCCCATGCTTCAAAATGGTGGCGGGGGTGCTTGAATTCAAGTTGGTTGAACGAGCTCTATTTCACGTGCCTCCAGGGATGCTGATGCTCAAGACGCGGGAGCAATTGCTGTGCTCTGGCAGACTGTTAATTGAGTCTGCTCCAACGCGCTGTAATTACAGTGCGTCAGAGCAGCCTCTGCGCTCGTGTACAGGCATGCTGAATGTCTCCAAGGGCTTTAAATCATGTACTTAGTTTGCCCTTACAATGCCTTTCCAAGATGGAGGTAAACACTGTACTTAGTTTACGCTTGGATAAATCGCCATCTCTCCACCCCTCGGTTACTCAGGGTCACACCGTAAGTGGGTGACGCTATGAAAAATATGGGATCCCAGCTCTAGCCATTAGACCTTCTCCCAACCAGAGCCAGAAATAGAACCCAGATCCTTAGCTGATGTAAGCAGTCATAGCTCCTCTGAAATCTATGTAAAGATGACTATACTGCAGTGTAGACATAAGCTTTTAGCCTGCATAGATGTACCAGAGCAAGCTTTAATCTAGGTAGCTTAGATATGTGCAGCATGCTGGTCACAACACGCTGGTTTCAGCTCAGGCTGCACAAACCCACCCAGTATCCTTGGTAACTGCTCAGTATCTGCAGCCCATGCCATCGCAGTCACATTGTTATTGATGCCTGGGCTAGCTGGTCTAAAGCAGCTTTGACATGTTTGCAGGAGATGTGGAAGCATTTCTGGATTGTAGCATAGACAATACCCTTTGTCAGCTTGCATCAACAGTATCTGACATCCTGATTCCTCTTGCTAGCAACTAGTCAATCAGTATGGAAAGAAATATGGAGTCGTCTGGCAGATGACCTTGGATGCAATTAAAAATCGGAATTTTCTCTTTGTTTTCCTATACCCAGTACTCCTTAAAATGGTGTCATTCAAAATGACAGGACGTGCGGAAACTGTAATATATGACTAAGACTACACATGAAGGTCTTTATGCTGTGGCTCCACTCTGATGATTTATATAAGTAATCACTTATTTAAAATACAGCAG